TATCTATTTAGTGAACAATAGTGAGCTGAGCTCTTTCTGCTTGGTGTTTGTATGATCTTTCTATACTAAACTGCCAGATGGATGCAGCATTTATTGATCATTTGATCAGCTTTATCATAAGCAATCCCTCTAAACTAATTTATCTCACTGAAGAATATTTAATGCAAACAGGAAGTGAACCAACCTTGGTTTGTGGTGCAGAACAGCACAGAGGTCAGAACTAACAAACAGAAGAAAATAGTGTTCAGTTAACTACTGATCATTTTAAATATAAAGACATTTCTATGCACATGTACATGTTCCCTTCATATGTCACAGAAGGAAACATTATTTTAAACTTTCAACGTTCGTTCTGCTAGGCTCAGGCCTGCAGCCCATCCTGTAGAATTCAACAAAGTTTGAAAATCAAGCAAGAATACGGAGCAATAATCTGTACTTACAGATGAAAAATCTGCCAGACGTCTCCTTCATTGTCTCTCAGAGATCAGCATGGTCTGTTTTACTCTCAGACACCAAGTAAAGCCAGCCCTCTTCCTCTGAAGCTCAGGGGCTTTTAGTGGTGTCACGAACAGTGCATTGTTAACCACAAACACTGCAAGGCTTGAAAGATACTATCAAGCATAACGCAGACACATTGTAAGATCCAGTTCTGATATTTTTAAGTATAATAATAATAAAAACTGATCCACCTCAGTAGATGATACTGTCGTTATTAGTCAGCAAATGTTATGCTTCAAATACTTCTATAAAAGAGTCACTATTGTAAAACTAAATCAAATATGTGTATTTTTGTTTTCATTTTTTGGCCAGCTTTGTACACATTTCTCAAAAATGTGTATAAAGTCATTACTTCAGGTGTGTTCACCTGTTTCCTGGATGTGATGCTCTACTTTGACCTGAAGTTGGTGTAGTTTGTTACATGAAGTTTGAGTCAAGATTAATTGTATTATAATTAGTTTCCTTGTTCCTTCCTTGTATTTCATTAGTATCCTCTGAGACGTACTAGTTCCCATCACCATAAACTTTTTATAGAAACTTGTATCAACACCTTATCTTATCAAATGCCCATTATTCATCTCATTACGGTCCTGATTGATATAAACACATCTTAACACATAAAGTATATTAGACAATAATACAACATTTTATCAACTTTTTAGAACAGATCCATGTGCTCACTGCCCTGATGTCCATCCACCATGAGAGGGCGCTGTTTTACACATACTTCATAACCTAGAATAAAAAGTAATGACAAGTGGAGTCACTTAATCTCTGTCATAAATATGGTATGCAAAAGTTACAGCTTATCAGACGATACATGCAACAGGCAACATTTACACTGTGTGCAGAATTATTAGGCAAGTTGTATTTTTGAAGATTATTTTTATTATTGGGCCACAATTGTGTTTAATCAATCCAAAAGACGTTTTTTGAAGTTGATGTGTTTTTTTTGTTTTGGCCATTTAAAGGAATAGTACACCCAAAACATGATTAGCCTTCATTTTCTACTCACCCCCATGCTGAACAACACTCTGGAGTACTTTTTTGATATCTCAAATGCATCTGGAGATCTGGGAGGCTTCTTGCTGTCTGCTGACATTCAAATAATGGAGGTCTATGGTGCCCGAGGCAGAAAGGTCCATAAAAGTCCACAAAAAACGTGTCAATATTCCTCCATACTGCTCGTCCAATGTATTCCAAGTGTCCTGAGTGGGTAGCATCCAGAATTTACTCGAAACGAAGTCATTTAGAATGTTTTTAGAGCATAAACAGTAGTGTATAGGATTTCCTGAAAGCGCGCACATGCGCACTCACGACGCTACGGAAGCCGGCAGATCAAACCAGATGAAAGTGCGCATTCAGCGTCTGCTCTGCCGATAATGCAAGCGTAGAAGAAGAAATGTGCTGTTTACCTGTGCAAAGAAAGAAACAACGAAAGAAAAATATCTGAGGACTTCAGTGTTGAGGAAGAGCATGAGTTCTTTGCCGAGCTGAATGCGCTGGTTTGGTCTGCCGGTTTCCGTAGCGTCGTGAGCGCGCGTGTGCGCGCTTTCAGGAAATACTGCAACAAAATATTACCACATGCACAAAATACACTTAAAAAAAATCTGTAATAAATAAATTAGGTTGAAGAATATAACGGACAATAAATAAATAAGGTGATTATTACAAAGGCGAATGAATAAAGAAGCTAATTAAAAGATATATATACATTTATGTCTCACTGTATAATTTAATTTCTACCGACATTTATTTGTTTATTGTATTTTTGGGGGCAATTAATGGTATGCTTATTTATTGCAATGTAGTTATTTCTGTATTTATTTTTAAATATGGCAGATCTGGTCCTCCATATAACGTGGACTCTCACTCTAAAGCAGAAGCTAGCTTTAGCTTAGCATGTTGATCTCCTCCAATGAGTTTTCCAATCAGCTGAGGCTCCAACCCTCAGTCTGCATCCTGAGGGAATCGTTTCTATCAGGTGTTTCCTACCTATCCAGTGTAAGATGATCTGGGGGATCCTGGTGAAATCCAGCAGTCTGTGCTGATCGTCCATCTCCACTTTGGGCCTTTTCTCTCTTCCTTTAACCTCCGTCAATGTTTCTTCAGCAGAAGTCCTCAGACATTTTTCTTTCGTTGTTTCTTTCTTTGCACAGGTAAACAGCACATTTCTTCTTCTACGCTTGCATTATCGGCAGAGCAGACGCTGAATGCGCACTTTCATCTGGTTTGGTCTGCCGCGGTTTCCGTAGACTCGTGAACGCGCTTTTAGGAAATCCTATACACTACTGTTTATGCTCTAAAAACATTCTAAATGACTTTGTTTCGAGTAAATTCTGGATGCTACCCACTCAGGACACTTGGAATACATTGGACGAGCAGTATGGAGGAATATTGACACGTTTTTTGTGGACTTTTATGGACCTTTCTGCCTCGGGCGCCATAGACCTCCATTATTTGAATGTCAGCAGACAGCAAGAAGCCTCCCAGATCTCCAGATGCATTTGAGATATCAAAAAAGTACTCCAGAGTGTTGTTCAGCATGGGGGTGAGTAGAAAATGAAGGCTAATCATGTTTTGGGTGTACTATTCCTTTAATGAGGATGTCTGTGTGTGCAGGTAAATATTACTGTGCAGAATTATTAGGCAATGTAATAAAAGAACAAATATATAGCCATCTCACTTGTTTATTTTCACCATGTTAATCAATATAACAATTCAAAATTCATAAATAAACATTTTTGACATTCAAAAAAAAAGCAAATCAGTGACCAATATAGCCTCCTTTCTCCACCATGACGCTCTAAATCCTCCATCCATAGATTCTGTCAGAGTCTTGATCTGTTTTTGATCCTCATGGCGTGCAGCAGCCTCCACAGCCTCCCTGTTTTCCCTCCCTGTAGATCTCACCTTTCATGAAGGACCACAGATTCTCCATGGGGTTCAGATCAGGTGACCAAGGGGGCCATGTCATTATTTTCTCTCCTTTTAGCCTTTTTCTGGCCGCCACGCTGTGGTGTATTCTGATGCGTGTGACGGAGCATCGTCCTGCAGGAATATCAGGTTTTTCTTGAATGATGGCGACTTCTTCTTGTTCCGCTGTTTGAAGAAGGTGTCTTCCAGAAACTGGCAGTAGGTCTGGGAGTTGATCTTGACTCCATCATCAAAGGAACTTGCTGCCCTTTACTGATCCAGCCTGGTGTCCATCCATCCATCTGGCCCATCTAGACTCACTCTCATTTCATCAGACCAAAACACCTTGGAGGAATCAGACTGCAGAGATTTCTTGGCCCAATCTTGACGTTTTGTTTTGTGCATCTTGTTCAAAGATGGCCTTTTTTCAGCTTTCCTTACCTTGGCCAGGTCCCTGAGGATTGAGAGGGCAGCTGCAGACGGGCCGCCGTTAGCCCTGGCCACTGTTAGCCTCGGAGCTCCGCTGGTTGCCGCAGTCATCTCAACTTTGGAACCTTTTTTTTTAAATCGGTAAATGGGCCATATAGTGATGCTTAAAAGTATAATGTTCTCGCCTCAAATGATCTTAAAATGTACTTTTATTGAACAACAGCAACAGAAAAGTTAACTCTGTGAGTTAAGAAGATGGGCCGCCTCCTCCAAATTCTGAAACACTACATTGTCTATATCTGTGTCCATGTGTGCCGCTAACTGAAACACACGTTCAGTCAGAGCGTCCAAACCAAAAGTAATAAAGTCAAGACTTCTAACGTTTACATTGTTTTCAGAAACAGTTGCTAAATGCCTCAGCTCGCTGATAACTTCATCGTAACTGGCCATCTTTGTTGTTACCGTGGCCAGTGGCATGTAGATTCCACGGATGCAGTAAAATACTAACCAACCAATGGACAGCGGTTGAGTCCTTAAGACACGCCCCCTCCTCATTTGCATAATGAGGAAGAAATGCAGACAGACATGTAAAAAGGGCAGCAGAAATAAATAGCATGGAAGAAATAACAAGGGTAAAAAATACAAAGGAAGAAGAAAACAGACAAAAATATTATAACATGCACATAAATAAATACTTACAAATATAATTAATTAAAAAATAAAGTTGAAGATTATAAAGGACAAAAAATAAATAAGGTAAGTATTACAAAGGCGAATAAATAAAGAAGCCAATTAAAAGAGTTACATACATTTATGACTCACTGTATAATTTAATTTCTACTTACATTTATTTGTTTATTGTATTTTCGGTGGCAATTAATTGAATGCTTATTTATTTATTTCTGTATTTATTTTTTATCTATGGCAGAGTCGGTCCTCCATATCTCACCATCACTAGTTATCAGATATATTTTTATTTTCATGGTCAAACTCTTGTAAATGGGAGGATTTTAAATGAGGCTCTGCTCCGGCCTCCAGACCACCTGGTGGCGCTAAAGCTCCACCTCAATGCTGGAATTGCCAACAGCCAATAGAAAGTAAGCAGAGGAAACGTCATTTCCGGCAGCAGCAGCTCTGCAGGAGGAGTTTCTTTCTCTGAACCACCGGTTCGGTCCATCTCTAACCGAACCCTACCGCCTCCAGAACCGCAGGCGTCCCGGTTCCGTGGCTCCCGCTGCCTCCCAGCCGGCTGGAAGCTCCATGGAGGCTAGAAGGTGAGCAGATGGAAAGATGGCGGCCGAGAAAGTAGGAGAAATGTTGACTTTGTTCCTTTAAATGATCTGATTCAGGGGAAGAAGCTGATCCAGGATCTAACGGCTAAACCAGGCTTTAGCTTCAAAGTTTAGGATTTTATTGGACGGCTGGAAAACCTACCGGGCTACATTAGCCTAGCCTAGCTAAATCAGTGTAAACAACAAGAACAGGAGCGAACTAAAGGTCTGCTTCAGCAAAGGAAGATTTTCTGAACCCGAGCAGAGAAGAAAGGAGGAGCAGAAATGTTCTGGTTCTGATCAGTTGGACCCAGTGCTGCTACCAGAACCTCCACTGGGCTTAAAGGACCAGAACCCCTCATGGTTCTACCCAGAGCCTCTAATCTAATCTGGATTAAAGCTGCATTGTTCACACTGCTCCGATCGTAACCGGATTGAACCGGTTTGTTTCTGCTTTAAGGTTTTATGATAAGAACCTTACTAATAAAAACTAAATGATGGATAAGTTTAAAATGTTTGCTAACACGCCTGAAACAGCTTTTTAGATTAGATAATCCCATTAATCTGCTGAGTTTAACTAAAGTTTAATAATCCAGATAATACCTGATCCAAGTCCTGGAACCTTAAACCCACAGGCTGCAGATCAGACAGAAGCTCTCTGCAGGCTGGTGGTCACAGCAGGACGCTGTGCTCGGTTCGATCCCCACAGCCTGCCTCTGGGTCCCTGAGCCAGACCCTGAACCCCACACTGCTTCCTGGGCGCCGTACAATGGCAGCCCACTGCTCCCCAGGTGAAATTCCCCACTGTGGCTGTAGCTACCAGATCTGCTCAGATCCTGCTTCATGATTGGCTGATGGGTGCCACAGTATGTAAAACATAGTGGTTGCCCAGACAACGATAATAACATCACACAGCGTCCGTTAGCGTGTCTAATGATCGATGAAGTTTTAACTGATCGATAACAAAAATGAAAAGAATCTGTTTCTGTTGATCAAAGGAACTAATAGGCCGTGATTTAAAGAGCTGGGTAGCGCTGTGGCTAGCTGTGCTTAGTAGCTAACAGGGTCGCTACCGGATCCGTTTCGGAAGCACCATCCGTTCTGCGCCATCCGTTTATTTACTCATCCAGATATACTTCCGGGTTTATTTAGTTAAAAAGACCTGAATAACTTTTTCTCCCTCCCCAAAAACAGTAAACGTACTAAACTATAACGTGTTAAACGTTAATAATGGATTTCCTGAGAAAATAAATGCATAAAATCCTTTCTGTTTTATCGCTCTGTTCCCGATCTGCTCCTGAAATAAGATCCTGCGCTACGTCCGGTGGCTAATGTTTTCGGCTTTTGATTTAAACATAAATCTAGTCTTTTTGAGTTTTATGTTTTTATTTCGTTTTAGCCTTATGCTATATAGTGCGTAATCTAAAGAAAGAAACAACTAAAATGCAGATAAAAATGGTTTAATCAGATTTAGTCGGAATGCTCTGAGCGTGTCCCATGATGACGTCAGAGAAGTAGTTAACGAAGATGCTGATGAAGGTTCTCAGTCATCCAGGTCATAGTCATTCTGTAAAAATTCAAAAAATATCCACTGGACTTGGTTTTCAAGACTATATAAGACTGAAACTCACTGTGGATCCAGACATTTGAATTGAGAAAGCTTCCTGGAGAGGTGGAGAAACGTCTTCAAATCTTGAAAACCAAGTCCAGTGGATATTTTTTGAATTTTTACGGAATAGTTAACGAAGAAAATTTAAAAAGCATAAATGTCTCACAAAAGTCATAAAACTTTTTTTCAAGATGTCTATTAGCATTCTTTACTGAGTTATGGATAGAAATAAATAGTTTTGGTACTATAATAACATTATTTGTGGAAACCTGGAAGTATATCTGTTCATGCAGGGCGGATCGGGTAGTGACGAACAGGTTAGCCTCTCTTAGCTCACTCAGTTAGCCATATTAAGCTACACTACTTTTAAATCCGTATCAAAAAACGTTCGTTTTCTACCAGTAGAATAACCGTTTTATTTGTCTATAATCTCTACGAAAGTATTTTTTTAAGATGTTCTATTTTTCCTTCCTGCCCTCAAATTGTAAAAAAAAAAAAAAAGAATAACAATAAACTGAGATTTATTCTTAGAAGGCAGGACTTTCCTTCCAGACTGAAAAAGAGTTTTTTTTTTTGCCTACTTTAGATCACAAATGAAATATAAAATAATAGCAAATATAGGGAATAATATGTTGAGACGGCAAATTAGATTTGGTCCTCAAGAAACAGGTGCAATGCAGTTTGTCTTAGTGGAGTTCCCATGTAATGATGTCATGAGAAGGGGCGGGGCCCCGATTACATCTGTAATGTACAAACAGGAGGTGGGTATGGAAAGCCGTCTGGTCATTTAATCCCAGCTGAGATGAACAGACTGTAGGGTTCAGACAGGCAGGGCTCCTCATGTTTACCTCTTTGTTTTTAGTACCTGCGGCCTGTAGGGGGCGATGTTTGGGTTTCACTGATCCTGCAGAAGCTGAACCTCCTCTGAGAGGGAAGTTAAACTCTAGTGAGGATTATGAGCCCAGATTAAAGTCCTGTGATGTTTAAAGCTTCCTCAGGCTGTTAATGGTTTCCTCTGCTTTAGAATAATGACTGTTATTCTAAGCTGATGAGGCCCCATGGATGCAGACCTGAAAGGACGCAGGTGAGATTAGAGCAGCATCTAAAGCTAAATATCTCAGATCATGATCAGAAGCATCTGAATCAGACGCCTCCTGCTGGAGAGACGCTGTATTCACACAGAGCCAGATTATTACGGTGGAGATTAAATCCCTGATGGATGGAGGATGTTCTGCTCTCATTCACTGACAGAGGAACCTTCAGTCTGATCATCTGCTGTTTCCAACAGGAAGCTGATCTGAAGAAGAGCTTCAGCTGAGGAACCAAAGAGGAGCTGGAGATCATAATCCAGGACAAGCATGAAGGAGAACCAGGAAGTAAAGATTGAGGTGAAGGAGGAGATCAGAGAGATGGAGATTGAGGAGGAGAACCACGAGATGAAGATTAAGGAAGACAACTATGAGATTAAGGTTGAGGAAGAGGAGGAGAACCACGAGATGAAGATTGAGGAAGAGGAGAACATGCAACACATGAAGACTGAGGAGGACGATAGTAGGATGAAGATTGAGGGGAAAACAGAGAACATAAAGGTTGAGGACCAGGATCCAGACCTCCACACCCTGAAGACCTCAAACCGGATTGAACCGGACTACTCTAATCCACAGGTCAGTGATCAGGTGTTTCTTTTCTACAGGGAAATAAAACTTTACTGGGAACCAACAAGAAGAAAGAAACAGAATAAAGTTGGATTTATGTTTCTGCTGCGATTCTGTTTAGAAGAAAGAAAGAAAACCTGCAGATTTAGTTTGATGAAAACCAGGAAACATCTGATCCTCTGACTGATCGACGTTCAGACTGAGGTCACTGCAAAGGTTTTAATCCAGACCTCCTCCATCATCATAATCTGCAGGGTTTCCATGGTTTCTCTTTGGACTGCTTTCTGTTTCTCTTCTGGTCTCCTGCAGCTTTGGGCTGAAAGAGGATTAGGGCCACTGAAAAAAAGAAAAAAGCTTACCTGATTTTTAAATTTTATTTCAGTTTAGTATGGGGAAAAAAGTCTGAATTCTGAGATTAAAGTCAGAATTCTGAGAAAAAAGTCAGAATTTCCCATACTAAATTGAAATACAATTTTTAAATCAGTAAACCTTTTTTTTTTTTTTTTTTTCCCAGTGGCCCTAATCCTCTTCTGTAGAAAGGATCCACATCCTCCATGAAATAATTCCTCTCTGAACCACAGGGTGGCACTGGAGTACAGCGCCACCAAATGGCATTTTTTAAGTTTCAAAGATGGATATAAAGAATGAAAGTGAATCATATAGCATTAAACAAAGCAAACAGATTATCAGCACATTTCAAAGTTATACATGAATAATTGGTCATTCTCCTTGATGGGTTATAGACACATTTCCTCCTAAAAGACAGTAGTAAAATGAATCTCAGGGTAAAGAAGCATCAGCAGGATTCTCACCAGCTTTGTTCCAAATCTGACGCTAAAACTCTGAAATGCTCAAATTCAGGCGGATGTTTGTTTTTCGTGTCGGTTGTGGCCTTAATGACCGACGTCTGGGCATCTCAGCACAGATGCTAGTTACACTGAAAGATGTCAAAACTCCACTGGAATTAGTCCAATTAATGACTTTTAATGAGTGAAATCGCCTCAGAAACGTTTTAAACACATTTACCTTCATCTTAGCACATTTCCTTTGAAAACTACAACCGTTCAGACTCTGTTATCTAATCGCTTCAATATTTTAGGCCAATCAGTGGTTGAAAGTAGGGAAAGGGAAACAGTACTTTGCATTGTCATTAAGGCAAATAATTGAAGAAAATACAATTAATAATTCAAATGATATTATAAGAAAATACAATGATGGATATAAAAGGAAGGAAATGGAGGAAACTTGGGATCCTACCTTAAAATATAAATGCTTATATAACAGCCAAAGGCGACACTAAAGTCTTTAATCTGGATTCAAAGCAACTGAATTTCAGTGTTGTTGTTTTTTTATCATTCTGGGATTTTCTACCAGATTAGCTGAACATAAGAACTAAGAGCTGAAAACTTAAATCATCACTAATATAATAAACACCTTTTTTGAACAACTATCACTTTGGTGATTGGCAGCGTGGCTTTTTAAGGCCAAAAATGGCTTTATGGGCATTTTCAGGATACATTAGTCAACTGATTATCGGGTCTATTACTGAATGCCTTAGTATAATCAGAGGTTAGATATATTACTATTCAACACATAAAACTAATTATGAACTTTAATAATAAAATAAGCCTTAGAGGGCATGCCTGAACCTAAGGTAGGTAAAGGACCCTTCAGTTTAGCCCCGCCCCGTGACGCAAAATGAGTGGTAGCTTGTGGTGACATCACAGCTGAACCAAATTTGCAGTCACACTGAATCAAAATGCTGCAGCTTAGAATGACAGTATAAGTTTTTACTTTGTTAGAGGGAAAGTTTTGCGTTTTTCTTTTTTGCCAAATCTCACAAAGTTTTCATAAATCCCTTTATAACTACATTTATTTGTCTTATTATTTTAGGAACAGGAAGACCAACAGCAGATTAATGGAGCCCTCACCGCATCCCGCCAAGGAAAGGCTCGTGGGCAGACGCAGACACGGGAAAAGCCATACAGCTGTGATCAGTGTGGGACAAAGTTCAAAACACAATCTCAGTTGCAGAGCCATCTCCGAGCCTACGCTGGTGAGAAGCCATATTCCTGTGAGTTGTGTGGAGCAACATTTAATAAAAGCTATCATTTAAAGAGACATAAGCGGATCCACTCTGGTGAGAAACCATACACCTGTGAACAGTGTGGACAGTCATTCAGTAACAAAGGCATTCTTCAAAGACACGAGCAGAGGCTCCATAAGAAGGAAAAACCCTACACATGTGATATGTGTGGGAAATGTTTTGCTGTTAGCCAGACCCTGAAAATACACCAAAGAATCCATTCTGATGAGAAACCCTACAAATGTGACACTTGTGGGAAAAGGTGTAGGGAAAAGGGGGATTTGAGCCGTCATCTACTGACCCACACAGATCAGAGACTTTATAGATGCGAAGTCTGTGGGAAAGAATTCAACCGCTTAGGTACACTTAAAAGGCACAGCCGAATACACACAGGAGAAAAGCCGTTTACCTGTGATGATTGTGGGAAAACCTTTAGTAGAAAGTTTACCCTGGATTGCCACAAACGGATACACACCGGAGAGCGACCTTACTGGTGTGAAGTGTGTGGTAAACTCTTCCCTACTATGACAGGGATACGTTATCATCAACAAATCTGTAAACCAGAAGGAATCGCATCTTCAACGAAATAACATCGCTATGAGGGAAATTTAAACACCCTGCTATTTTTCACCTAGCTGTATCATACAAACAAATTGTTGAAAAGTCACACATTGTGATTTCTGGGTTTATTTTATTTTTAGATTATGTCTCCATCCACCTACGATGACGATTTCAGAGATTTCTAAGTGGAAGAACTTGCAAAATGGCGGGGTGTTCAAATACTTAATTTCCTCACTGTAAATGGGATTAAAGTGATTAGGATTACAGATTGTGATATTGATTATGTTGATAAAACACTATAAAAAAAAAAAGTCATTATTTTAGCTCACTTTTTTAGATTTTGTAATGAAGCATTTTAATCATATAAGATGAAAATATTTTTAACTTTTTTCATTTTTTTCTTTTTGCTTGTGGTTCTTGGCTATTAGTGTTTGAACTGGTACCTGCTAAGCTAATGCTAAGTTCAGTTGAGCTCAGTGCTACGTTTGATTGTTTTAAAAAAGTAGACATACATATTTTAATAAGTGTTTACTGCTGGTGACCCAGTAAAATGTATTTGCTCTATTTTGTTTTTCTTTTAATGAATTAAAATATGTCCAAACGTCCTGAATGCGTGCTGCCTCGTTGCTTTTACAAACTTTTTTGGAAAACAGATGTTTTGCTGCCGTAAAGCTTTTACTTGTCAACAAACACACTCATATGCATCTAATTGCTGCTTTATTTAATCTGGTTAAATTACGGGTTTTCTGTGAACACAGCAAACAGGCTGTTAAAACAGATGAAAGTAGTTTAAGCTGAAATCATGGTCAGTTAACTCTCAACATATGGAATAAGTTCTTAATACTCATTTAAAATTAGTGGATGGTATAGATTATTTTTTAATCTAGATAATCTAGACTATAATGGGTCAATAGAATTCAGTCAAAGGTCTTTTTGAGTCAGAATCACAATTACTTTATTAATCCCTTGCAGGAATCAGTTCAATTGTTCACAGAGGAGAGAAAAATTAGATTTTAAGTACAAATAAGATACAAGAATAAAATAAGGATGATATGCTGCCTAAATAAGTAAAAAAATAAAACTAAGTCTTTGAACAGGTGCATCGTCCCAAACTGGATAAAGCTTTTCTACAATAAGTGGTGATTAAAAATAAATATCTAATATAAGATATTTGTGTTTAATAACAGTTTATTCAGACTAACATGAATTCTGAGCACTATGCCTACATATTAGGTCATGATGAAGTGTTTACAGTCATCAGCTCTGTGTCAGTCAGTCCAAACTCTATTTCTCCCTTTTCCTCCAGTCGTCCAGGCGGTCATAATAATGTCCTGTGAGTCGCAGCAATGGCTGCTGGGTAAATATGGAGAAAAACATCAACATTTGAGCCCAGTTTGTGTTAAAGAGGGTTGTTTATGTTGGTAGGCTGTTCGTGCTAAGCTAACATTATTTTCTAGAGGTTGCAGCTCTATTTTTAGCATTTCTGTTTATTTTGCAGAAACAAATAGCATCTCTGCTGACCTTGGTTTCAGCGTGAGATCCTTGCTAGCGAACACGCTAAAATATGAAGTAGAAATTGGGACAAAATCAGACAAACGGCTCAATTTTCTGCAAATATCTCCGAACTTAATCCAGACGATGACGGAGCGACCAGATTAACCTAAAAACCAACGACTAAACAACATCTGGTGTTTGGAGGGATTTTCAATAATGACGTAGTGGAACCGCTGTACCCGTTAGCTAGCTAGCTACATGCACGTGCTGCAGTATGTCTGCATGTAGCTGAGGTCATACGCTAGCTAGCAAATCATCACTGATGTATATTTACCTCTTTCTGATGTTTCCTCTTTATATGTCCCGCCTGTCGCCATAATTAGCCCATAAGGCTAATTAACCATCAACCCAGAACAAACAATGGCGAACAAACATCATAGTTCGACCGCCATCTTGATCTCATTCCATTCAGATCCCGTCACTCCTTCTAAAGGCTGCTTAACAACAGAGCAACGTTAGCTGTGAACTTTTAAATTCTGCTAATCCGTCGTAAACAGTTTGAGCTGTAGCTGATTTAAAAATATCGTAGAGTGTTTCCTCAGGTTTGGTCAAAAAGATCCTTTTAATTTAATAAAAACTAACGCTTCCTCTCTTTCCTGTTATACTTTTTTAAATTTTTTAAAAGACGTTCTGAATGTTCGTGTCCGACAGTCTTTGAAATCCTGTGATTTCTGTTATCAGGTCATCTGAGGTGATTCCAAGATTCAGGAATGGAAAGCAAAAGTTGGTTTAGTTTTTGTTCACCTAAACTAACAGCAGTCAGTGAAGGATGTGAATAATTGGTAAACACGACATTTATCACCAACTATGAAAAAAATCATAGAGGAAATGCTGGAATTCTGAGAAATATTCCTAAAATGTGAGTTTTTACTGCTGCATTGATCTAAACTTGCTGACCTGCTCAGAGTGAAAGTGAAAGCTTAAACGGGTCAAACTGAAAGTGAAAGAAGCGTCTGCGTTGCTGTGCCAATAAACAGCCTGTTTAACAGAAAACCTTAGATTTTATTTTAGCTCTTCCAGCCTCTAATTTGTGTTAAAATGATCCCAAACATGGATTGACCTGCAGCGGCTCCTCAGATGCTGAGAGATGGATGGAGAGCAGAGCGGCTCAGATCTGGACCTCATCCTGCTGATGGTGGCTTCATCTAAAGGCACCTTTTACACTGGAGCGTTTTTAGTGGCAAATCATCTGTTTTCTGCATTAAAAGGTAAAATATCAGCTGCTTCTTCTTCAGCCTGAGAGACACTGGAAAAACGATGTAGAAATAAGTAAAAGTTTCTTATATTAAGTGTATTTACCCTTAATTTGAGCAGGTAAATGAGATGATTTGCCAATGGAATGAGTGTTTTTACTCTTAATATAAGATATTTAGATAAAATGCACTTGAAATAAGACAATGAAATTGTGTTTTCTTATTTTAAATCTAAATTGTCTTGTTCTATTGGCAAAATGTCTGTTTTACCTCTTCAATCCAAGAACAAATGCACTTATTTTAAGGAAAAATGACTCATCTAGATGTTGATTTTTTCCAGTTTACAACCTCTGATTAATAGGCTGGGAATGTTTGTTCACTTTTGTTTCACTGATCAGAGATCAGGTTAAAGTTTCAGACTGATTCTAACTTTCTGTTTCTGTTGAAACCAGTCCAGACATCCTGGTTCTGAGCTTCTCTATTCAATCTTTCAGCTCAGAGGATTTACAATTTTTTTATGGATCAGATGAAAAAAATCCTGTTTAATAAAAGTTTTCTGCGATCGTAGAAATTTTTTTTTATTTTTACACTAAAGTAAATATAAATATCCTTACAGGAATGGAAACTTATGACTAAATGACCTGCCACAGCTCCCTGACAATGATTTGGATTCATTCTAGAGATTTATTATTGCATCAAGGAGCTGCTCATAAATAACCAGCTGTCATAGGTCCATCATGTCATGTCAGAGGTAGATGATAAAAAAAAACCCAACATGATGAAAAACATCACCAGGATCTAAAGATGGAAAAATTCCCACTGGTAGCTTATTTAGTTTCACATTACAGCAGAATTTAAAACTAAACGTCCATAAACCTATAAAGTGCATATTGCCATAGCGTGCAGCGATGAAAAGTTTTTACATTTCTCTGGTTCTGATGTTGACAGAACTTTGGTCAAACTTTGAGGATCCAGATACTCTGACCCGCTTCGTTGATGAGGCTTTAAAAAACATCTTTTAAAGTACTTATATGTGATAAAACCAACAACTAGAACAATTAAAGCAGCTCCAGTAACTATGGTAACCATGGCAGCAGTGTAGCTTATTCTTCCAGCTCCATCCCTGCTCCCGGTTCTCCCATCATCATCCTCCTCCTCCTCTGGCTGTTTGAAGCTGTCCATCACGCCGTCCTGTGGCTCAGCTGCAGAGAACAGAACCGAGCGGTCGGATCAGAACCTCTCAGACAGAACCAGAACCCCCCAGAGCCCCACACCCACCTGCAGGGGTGACCGTCAGCCTGATGGCGTGGCTGATCTCAGAGTGCTGCCTCCTGCTCTCCACCACCAGGTCGCACTCGTACAGCCCAGCGTCCTCCCAGGTGGCGTTCTTCAGGATCAGAGAGGCGTCTCCGCCCTTCATGCCGCCGTCCCGCAGCATCACTCTCCCCTGGAAGCGGCGGTGCTGGTAGTTCTCAAAGCAGCGCCTGTTCCTGTAGAAGTAGACGTAACCGTCGGCCTTCAGGTCCGCTCTGCTCCACTTCAGAACCGAGATGCTGTCCAGGCTGCTGTCGCTCTGACACGCCAGGGTTACATCCTGATTCAGGGGAACGCTGACTTCCTGCTGGCCTGGGGGCGGGACAAGCAGCAGCAACATTTGATGAGCTCCACAGGAGGCGTTCAGGAACATGAAGACCATCAGAAAACCTCAGAAACTATAAGGACGTTTTCACCAGTAGCTGGTTCTGGATCGATTCATTTAGTTCAACATTATATTTAATCACAAACATAAGGCCAAATGAGCACAAAAATGAACATAAAGTGTATTTTTCTGGGTAAAACTTGTGATTTGATATTCTGAGTATTCTGATACAGTGTTATCAGTTCTCAGGGTTGGTAGTTTCTCGCATTTCTCACATTCAGAGGTTTTGATTCTTATGGACATTTTCTGTTAGCTTCACTTTAAATCCACACAAAGGTTTTTAAACTCATGAACACTATTGAGTAAAAGAGGAATTTACTACTAAATTAGTTCTAGCTCTTTTTATAATAGAACTAATTCCATACGTTTCTCAAGTTTGATTTATTTTACCTCAATAACTTAATGTGGGATAATGATTGATGACTTACAGAAACCTGGTTGCAGCGCGAGGTCAGCTGGTAAAAATGGCTGTTTGATATAAAGACAGAATTAAACTTTTGAAAAAAACATCAATTAGCATGAAGATGCTTCTGCTGTTATTAGAACAACCAGTAATAAACCAGCCAGTCAACTTTCTGGTCTTTGATCTAGTGTTTT